ACTAGAGTGTGCTGCCACCTGCTTGGTATGTACTTTTATGAGTTTCTTGTGTTTTCAGCTCTTTGGTTGATTTATTTTTTTCAAAGACTATTGATCAGGAGGGTGAGTTTTGCTAACTGAAGTCGTAGTTATAGCCTGTGTCAGGGGGCTAAATATTTATGTCTTCTGGGATTGAACAGTGGGCTTCACTTTACTAAGGAAACAATCCCTAGTTGTCCTCTGTTTTTTGGCTTTTTCCTTCATTTGCATTTTCAGCATCCTGATAATGTCCTTAGTTACAGTTGCTATGGAAAAAAATTTTAGTGTTTCCTGCAGTACTGGGTGGTATACTGCCTGGAGGACATTTAGTGCATATTTATGATAATACCCAAGTCATGCATTTTATGCTAGGTTTCTAGTCTAGTAACTAGTTGCCATTGGGGGACTGCTATGTCTTTATTTTGGTTCCCTGATTTACCACACTGATAATTTTCCTTTTCATTGGTTCTGGAATTCTCATCACCGTCTTAAATACTCAATTACTCAGTATTTCACAGACTATAATGGCAGAACCAGTGTCATCTTTTTGTCATTGAATAAACTGGTAAACAGATGTAATCTTGATAGCAATGTGACAACCTAGACTTGTGAAAACACTCACATCCTCTTAAGGGTGTACAGTCTATGGACTGAGGCAATAAAGGGTGGAAGAAAGAAACTGGTCTACTTAGAGACTTGGACCCTGGTCTCTTTATTAAAATGGAAATAATATTAGTAATGCATGCCCCGTTTAACTGATAGGTTATTATCAGGATCTCATTACTGTATGTGAAAGTGACCTAAGTAATATAATGCTATAAATGCTCACAAATTTCATTGTGAAATACAACAACTAGATTGTTAATAGTCTTGACTTTTGCTTTGACCTGGTTGAATATGGGAAGTAACTTATCTCTAGTGAAGGTTTGAGTTGGTCTCTTTATTAAACCATCTGGGCAAATGCTTAGTTAATTTTGTGACATTTTCAAGGTCATCCAGTTCCGAATGTTGACTTCATTTCTCCTTCTCTTATCTTTTATTTTGGAGAGAGAAGGGGAATATGGCTGAGATGATCAAGTTGAAAGAACAGAAATATTAATTTTTAAAAATACCTTTTCTGAGTTAATATAAAAGTTCCCAGATGCGTCTGTCTGTTGCCTGTTTGGTATGTTGACACATGCTATTATGATTTTAATTCTGCCAAATTTTTTTTTTTTTTTTGCATGTACTTTGGTTTAGTGTAGCTGCTCAATCACTTCCTGGAACACGTTTAGGCATGCAGCTTTGAAAATCATAGGGAAAAGCAATGCATTTTGTGGTTTGATAGATGTATT